AGGGGCCCGGCCGCCCCATTTGAGCTGTACATAAATGCCTGGAGCCTAACGGCAAAACGTAGTCCTGAATGTGGAAGGGGGAGTTTAGATGCCGCTGGTTAGGTAGCATCACAGGACAGGGCTTAGTTACTGCCTTACACATCGAAAGAGCAGCATTTTGAAACTGAAGCATGGGTCCCACAGACGGACCATCCAGTGTAGAAACTGGCACTGCTGCTTACCTGTTCTGTGAGCTTTGGCAGAGTTCCTTAATATTTTTGTGCCTCAGTTTCCTCACACCTAAAATGTGGATTGTAATATGAGTTGTCTTATAGAGCCATTTTGAGAATTAAATGACCTAATATGTTAAAAAAATCACCTCTTCACCATGCATTTGGAACAATGCCTATAATATAGGTAAACAATAAATGTAAATCAGATTTTCTGTCCTATATCAAAATTTTATTTCTTCTCTTTCTGGAGAACTTGAACATGATCATTTTCGGTAGTTGTTCAGGAAGCATTCCTTTGTATAAAATATGCTCTGAAATACCAAAATTTTCAGTGACTATTCTAGGGGAAACAAAGAAAGGACTATCGTTTCTTGAAGGCAAAAATTACCGTATCCACACTGAGCTGTTGTGTTTGTCAAACTCTTGTCACTTCCTCTTCATTCATAAACCCCCTCCTTCCAACTCAAGGGTGGATTGAAAAGTCACTTTGGTGCCGTTTCAGGGTTGCCCAGGCACAGACACACGCGTGGCTGGCAATGTGCCGCCCACGCTCGGGAGGCCCTGTTGGTGGGTGGGCGTTTGCACGAGGCATCGTCTTTCCTGCCCGGCTTGCGGAGGCATCATTTTCTTTCCTCACAGCACGTCCCGTTTGCCAAAGTTTAGTATTTGATTCTGGTCTAGGCTTTCTTCTCCCTTTGATGTAAGATGTGAAATTTGGAAAAATTAATAAGCTGTAGAGGAAATAAACCTATCTTAACCTTAACAGCTAGGGTTTAGTGGGCACTCACTGTGTGCCAGGCCTCTGCGCTGTGCAAATACATGGAGCTATAGGTGGGCAGACGCAGACAGGTAAACAGATGGTGGTCTCAGTGTCTTCAGAAAGATTCAGAGCTCGCTCCATTAGGAGATGTATATGTATATAACTATGTTATTTATTTATATATTTTATATAATTGCATATATGATTTTTGTATTTAATTTATATGTAAGCTTTACCTGTTCACACGTACATGATTTATCGCAAGGAGACAGCTTATGCAGCTGTGAGAGCCCGCAGGTCTAGAGTCCGCAGCGCAGGCTGCAGACAGACAGACTTCCGTCTCCCGTGGGGCAGCCTCGGCTTCGCGGCCTGCCCAGATGCTGAGGCAGTTTCCTCTGCTTGCAGTCAGCGGGTTGTAGGCATGGCCCACATCTGGGAAGTGCCCTCACAGCACACCTAGATCCATGTGTGCCCAGGGGGTCTGGTGCTCCAGCCTAGCCATGTGCACATGAGCCAACATCACGGGAGCTTACACAGGCCACAGAGCAGGTACCTGGGAGGGGACACTCGCCAGCATCCGCCCGATGGCCGAGGCCCTGCCCCTAACCGCCCGCAGCTGGTGGTCTGCATACCACAGGGCTCTTCGGCCAGCACGGCTGCCCCCCGGAGTCTTCCAGGTGAGCTTCAGATGCACATCCCAGGGCCTAAGGAGTGACCTGTGGCCAGGTGGGGGACAAGGGCTCCCGGGCCTGGGGACCTGAGCGTGCGTGAGCTGGGGCAGGGCTCCGTGGGCCACAAGGGCACCCCAGTCACCGCGGTGCGCCCAGGAGCTGGCTCATCCCCTCTTCTGAACATCCAGCCGGTGTGTTGAGCACTTACCTGGAGGAGGGGACCCGGCAAACGCTGAAGTCGCCACCGTGACACGTGCAGAATGCGGGAAAGCTCGGCAAATGGAGGGGTCCTGCCAGAGGCTTGACACTGGTGAACCAGTGAAAGTCGTACTTTACCTGGGCCGCCGGCTGCTGACATGGTCCTTGCAGGAGAGGCAGGCTGTGTCTGCGGGCCTGGCGGGGCGTGCGTCTCTTCAGGCCAGCCATCGTAGCAGGGGTCTGCGCAGCGGGCCCACGGGGCCGTCCCTCTGCGGGCCCGGCGGGCGGAGGTGGAGCCCATTTGGAGGGCAGCGGGGGAAGCAAGCCAGCCTTCACCGCCAGCCAGGGCGGAGCTCCTGCCCGGCCCGCACGCTCCCCGGGCCTTGTTTTGGCCTGTTTCAAAGGTTTTCGCTGATCCTATCACCTTGCAATTGCATAGCACTTCAGGGTGGCTTTCTTGTTTATGGGTTTTTAACAGGAAAATGAAGAGCTCTTGTACATGCTATTTCATAGTATAGTAATATGGGAAGGGAGACAATTCCCTATTCATATTTTAATTCATAGTGTAGCATATGTAAATGTTGGTTTGACTAATCAAGTGTAGCTTAAAGTACAATAATTTTTTTTATAAAAACAGCTTTCAAGAAACGTTGCTTTGTCATTAGAATTTTCAAGTACATGTTGAGGTATTTTTGAGTAACTGTAGCCATCCCTACCCCAGGCTTCCTAAAAGAATTATGTAAATAAGCACACACTTATGTAATAGTTTCCGCGTTACAAATATACCTAAAGAATGTCCCCCTCTGTCAGAAAGGGAAGAGATAGTCTTATTTCTATTTCCTTGTCCCTATTTCATGTATAGAGAAGCCAAGGCAAAGGCAAGCCAAATGACTTGCCTCGCCTTCCTAGGTGATTAAGATCATTTAAAAACCGAACGATCCTAAGATCATCCGTAAGGAAAGGGCAGACCTTCTGAGGGGAGGAGATTGGGGGTGCCGCACAGAGGAAACCCCGTGTGGGTTTAACGTGCCGGGACCGCAGAGGTCACCGCGGGTCGCACCCTCAGCCCGCCAGCCCCGGCCTGCCTCACGGGAAGCGGCCGCCTCGCGCTGCCCCCCGCCCTGCAGGGACCCGCTGGGAGAGCGGGAGGAGCGTCAGACAGTGAATAAAATCGAACGGGAAACTGCCCGAGCCCTTAGGGGCTGAGATGGAGTCATTCTCCATGTCCCTGCAGCGAGGTGCTTGGTGTCAGGTTTGTTTTGCTTATACTTTGGGAAAAAATTAGTCTACTCTTCAGTTTCTTTTCTGCTTCCACAATTTCCTAATTATATAACTGACATGTGCATGTTGTAGGAAATTTAGAAAATGAGGACATGATGAAAAAAAATACTGTATATCCAATCCCAGCACCAGAGGTGACCGCTGTTCAGATTGTTTGCCCGATGCGTTTCGTTCCAGGCAGCCGGACCCATGGAGACTGCGCTTCCTCTCCTGGCGGTCCAGGCAGCGCTGTCTGCGGGCCTCGCTCCGCTCCCACCCTGCCCTCATGTTTGTTTCCTTGGCTGCGCTTTGTTCTGTTGTCTTTTTAAAAAGACGACTACTTTATTCACCCTGGTGGCCTTTGGGATTCCACCACCCTATTTTTCCTGACTCTGTTTTTAAAAAATTTTTGCATTAACTATTTTTGCATATTAACCCTTTATTTCCATGTCTTCCCATCTCCTTAGGATACATTCAGAACAGTTTTCTAGAAACTGAGCGCAAACCTGCGTGGCTGTCAGAGCAGCGAACAGGCCCGTCTCTGCCTGTGCCCCGTGGTCGGGTTTTCTTAGAGCCTGTACACGGTGGAAGAGGGGGAAGCAGGGCTCACTGTCTTAATTTGTAGTCCCTAAGTTACTGGTGTAATTTAAGATTTTCGGTGCTTACAAGGTATTTGTATCTTATGACAATTATTATTGTTCTTTGTTTATGCCTCTATTAAAGAGCTAATGTTCCTTCTTGAAATTGATAAACTTCTTTACATACTTTACATTCCTTTTGCTAAAATAATCTCCTGGTGAATCATTTGCCTTTTAATTTGCTTGTAAATATATTTTAAATGTAGGAGTAGTTGAAATTTTGGGCTAAAACACATTTTCTCCTTGGCTTTTTTGTCTTCTTTTCATGATCTTCCATATTCAGGAACTAGTCAAATATGTATTCATAACTCTTTTTAGTTTATGTGATGAGGTTTTTTTAATATTTAGCACTTAAATACATCAGCAATTTATTTCTACCTATAACATGAGGAAAGGCTATAACCTGACTGCCCCCTAACACTGTATGCACATGTGTGTATCATGTTTCTGAATATGCATACAAGGGGAAGGACCAAAAAAAAAACAACCCAGAATTATCTTCTGGAGGGCAGGCCCCTTGGAGGACAGGCTCTCCCACTAGGCGGGTGCTCTAGGAACCCCTCGGTATCGATGCACCAGCGGGCGTTACTGTGAGAGGCTGCGTCTGGCTTCAGTGAATTTTTTTGAAGACTCTTTTAACGTTTGCCCAATTCATGGTGGGAGATTTACAGGTGCACCTGCCCGCACCGCGCTGAGTGTGCAGCAGTTTTTGACCAAAAATGGCAGGGCCCCATGCCCCACCCTCCCTGCTCACCCAGTCTCACCCCCAGCAATTTTTTTTTTTTGTTTCCCTGGATGGAAAATGTCCTCAAGGGAAAGATTGTGCTGATGTGGAAGAGGTGAAACAAGAAAAACAACAGAAGCACTAAAATGAATCAAAATTGAGGAGTTCAGAAACTTTTTGAGCCATGGAAAAACATCTTGATAGGCATATAACAGCAAATGGAGAGTACTTTGAAGGTGACTACAGTTTAAATATGTAAGAATACACAACTTTTTATGAATAAATTCCATTTGGGGGGAGTCTCCCTCATATGTATACATGACGGTAAGATTTATGATGTGTGTATATTGAAGGTATACTCTGAGGTCTGTTACGTTGTATTGTATTACACACCTTCTTTCAAGTTGATTTGCTTATAGATATTTTTTCTCTCAGAACCATGCTATTTTAATGACTGTAGCTTTCTACATTTTAAAATACCCAATAGGAAAAGCGTCTCCTCCTGCTAACGATAACTTTATGGTTTTTATCACGTAGGCCTGCCAGAGCCCAACAGAGACCGCATCTTCGACGGCCTGACGCCGGAGCAGGGCTTCTACACGTCCAAAGACTTCCTGCCTCTCGTGGCCAAAGCCAGCAAAGCAGGTGCAGCGCACTGCCTTCTATCCTCGGCGTTGCCTATTTGTGTGAATTACGCATTTACATGAAATCCAGGCTAGCAGGGCATTGCTCAGCTCAATCCCTTTATCACACAAACATAAAGAAGAAAAAAATTAGCCAGATGCACGGGTTTGCCAGCCCATCGAGCACCGTTGCGAGGACATCGGGCTGTGACACGTGGGTCCAAGCTGTGTCATGAGAAACTGCTCAAAGTGAGAGAGTCGTAAACAAACAGGGGGAGGTGTTTTTAGGAGAAACTGCAGGGGCTTCAGTTTGGGAACTTCTGTATTTACTTTTTTCTTATATTTTAAAATCAGACAAGCGCCCCTATAGTTTGTGCCCAAGCAGGCAGAAAGACCGTCTCTTCCAGCACAGTGAACGCACGAAGCTAAAGTAAAACACTCCGATAGCCCCCGAGTGTGCAGCCCCTGTGCGGTCTCACGGCACAGACCCGGGGCAGCCCAAAGCCCGCCCTGCCCTGCGCCGGACCGAGTCGTGCCGTCGCCACCGCCCTCGGGGAGCTGCGATGCGTTCTCCAAAGCCAGGTCATCTAAGTCCTACAAATGTGTCTTTTTAAAAGTCTATTCTGACATCTAACTGCAGGTACAAAAGATAAGAACGTATCCCCACAATGAAAGCATTTTCTCTGGTAGATCCATTTGTAGAAGTTTACAGCTAAAGGCATGTGCCACCCTCACGTTGCCCCTTCCACCGTGAGAACAGGCTGCCATGCACCGGCGACCCTGTCTATGGAAGGTCGCAGTACACGTGACACGCTGAGAATTTCAGGGGCCGCTGATCAAGTCCCAAACGCAGGGTCTTCCAGGCAGAATGACTGCGCACTGAAATTGCAGACCTGCACTCCCCGTGATGCCGCTTCAAAAATTATAGTAATTTATCAACAGTTTTATTTAATCTGGTAACGCCCCACCACTTAACACATAGAGAACACCTGCATTTGACTTTTTTCATGAATTTTTATATGGACATCAAAGCTCCATATAGGTGCTCTTGAGAAATGCAAACTTAGATGTCATTTTTCCTTAACACTCAGTTTTACCAAAAAAAAAAAAAAAAAAAAAAAAGAAGTGGTAAATGGGAGAAAGTTTTAGTTTAATTAAAAATTATTCCTCAGAAATTCTTCCATTATGTAAAGAATACTTAGCATGTTGATTTTCAAAGTTTACTAAATTACTCTATAGCAGGGCTGTATGTTAGAAATCTTTTAATATCTAACTAACATATTTTCATGAAATGCTGTAAATGATTAACCCAGATCACATGGATCACTGTTTTTTCTTCTAATTAACAGAAAATTAATGATGCCAGGTTAAAAATACGCGTCACCACCTTGCCAAAGAGTTTTAGTTGATTGATTTCATTTTTGTTACGACCTAAACTCTTCAAATTGTGTCGTAGCCGTCCTTCTAGAGGGGAAGGAGAAGGTGAAGGTACTGACTCTGAAATTACACGCACGAGCATATTGTAAAATGAGACCGAGGCTGCCTTCCGAGGGAGCGGCGGAATCGGGCAGTGACAGCCCCCTCCTGTCCCCCGCCCCCCCCCCCCGCGCCCCCGGCACGGCGCGCGGCGCTTTCGCGCGGCTCTGCGCTCCCGTGTCTTTTGAGCTGTCCTGCAGGCGCGGCTTCTCTCCCTGACAGTGGGTTCCCTTTCATCCTTCAGGAATGTGCGCCTGCCCCTCCCCGCTGCCATCCGTGCGGGGAAACGTGATCGTCCTGGGCGCGGGGGACACCGCCTTCGACTGCGCGACGTCCGCCCTGCGCTGCGGCGCCCGCCGCGTGTTCGTCGTCTTCCGGAAGGGCTTCGTTAACATCAGAGCTGTCCCCGAGGAGGTAAGCAGCGCCGGGAGCGGGTGCCGTCGGCGCGCCGCCTCCGCGCCTCAGCCCTCAGAACGTTCTGGAAGCTGTGAGATGCAAAATGGAGCATTTCTGGGCTAACCCTAATTGTTTTTCTAATTCAGACAAAGTACAAGCAGACTCTTTTATAATACCGATTTGGATAAAATGAGGAATTTATCTTTGTCAGTACACAAGTGGCTCTTATTCTTGGTGTTAATATCTTTGACGTATATTTAACGAGTAGCAGTGGAATGTGCTAAGTCTTCTGTACCCTGAACAATAGGTGCTCTTCACAAAACGTATGGCTATTAGGACAATGTTGTAATTAGAGACATTTGAAATTTTTCATAAGCCAAATTCATGAGCTGCGTTCGAAGGGAGAGAGCTTGGTCATACTGCCAATTCGTTCTGCTGTGAAGACTATGGAACAGAGAGATGGCCATTTATTTTCTTAAAGAACACTAATGTGAGCATTATTTAGAATGCATAATTAGTTAGCTTGCTAAAAATGACAGGTTTAAAAACATTTCGTTCTTACCGGTGACTGGCGACCACTCTTGGGTAAGGCAGGAACTGGGTGTATGTACTGCTGACTTCTCAAATTTTCATGCTCTTAGAGAAAGATAAAGCCTTACAACGGATACGAGTTCTGAGAACAAGAACCAAACGTATTTAGAGAAAGATGAATTGCTCGTTTTATCCAAATCAGTATTATGAATTCGATTTGCTTTCGAATGCCTGAACATGTTTGGAGTCTCCACACTAGGCGAGAATTGTAACTGTAGTCAACAGGTAATTTGTCACTTGTAGAATAGCCACAGTAGAGATTAATTTTACTGACATACCAGTCCCCACTGGTCCATGGCTGAGCTTCAGATGGCATGGCTGGACTTCGCGCCATCCAGTCTGCCCTTTCAGGCTCTTCCCGAAGCCCAGGCGGGGACGGTCTTACAACCCGCAGAGCCCCCTCCGGAGTGGCCGGCCCCGCCGTTCCGGCCCGGGCCTGGCGTGTGCAGCAGGAGAGCGGCCTCCCTGGGCTGAGCAGTCTCCCGCCGATGAAGGAGGCTGTGGCTCAGCCGCGTTCATCTTCGTGGCCTCAGCCAATAATAGGTGCTTGAGAAATACGTCTTGAGCTAAACATTTTCAATCTTTTTCTTATTCCGATGTGAGAGAAGTTTGCATGGCCCAAGCCTACCCCCCGGGCGTTGAAAGGGGAGGCAGCTCTGAGTAGCACTGTCAGTTCCCAGCACCAGCCACCTCCCGGTGGCAGGCGTGGCTAGACAAAGGGTGGCCCTTGATCCACCTGAAGTAGAACACACGTACAGAGGTAAGACCAGACAATGACCTGGGGGAGAGGGGGAAGTCTGTTATATAGGTGTTTCGTCCACCTGCGGTTGCAGGCACCTCTGGTGTACCAGGCGCTAGGCAGACGTTCTCGCCCGCATGGAGCTGGTCTCTAGTGAGGGGAGACATGCTAAACCCAACAAATAAATTGTCACATAAGTAGTATGACAAGAGGTGCTATGAAGAAAAGTTAATGAACAGAGAAGCACAAGGAGGTCGCGTAGGTGGAAACGGAGTGGGGGAGAGGACGTAGGGTTTGCCTTTTCCCGCAGAGTGGCCCAGGTGCCCGCCCCGCCCCGCCCCACCAAGGAGACGACCGGAGGGCTCAGGGGGGATGGCACCGAGAGGGGAGACATCCGGGAGCATGGCGCCCCAGGTCAAAGGCAAGTGCGTTCAGCCTTCCCTGAGAACGGCTCTGGGACTGCCGGGCACAGAAAAGACGCGTCAGCGAGGCTGCAGCCGAGTGAGCGGGGGCGGCGCGAGGCAGAGAGGCCCGGTGCGGGGGCGTGGCGTGGCCACGCTTACGCCTAGCGGCCGGGGTCGGGGCAGGCCCTGCGGCACGTGTCTGCGCCAGGACAGAAGCCTGTTCTGGACAAACTGCGAGCGGCAGGAAGACTCGAATGCGGCGCCCACTGTTGCATCCCTCCCACCCCCTACACTTTCCAGCCCGGTGCACACAGGCTGCCTCCACACCTGGCTGCTGTGAAGTCCATGGGACTAAGACGCGGGGACAGTGAGAGTTTTTCTCAGCTGCGTGTGTTGTTTCTTGGTTTGGACTCTCGGGTCCAGTGCGGGAGTACTGCGGTTTGCCTGTTGGTAAAGGCCTCGCCGTTGCACCCGTCGGCATGGGGGTATCCCGGTGCGCAGGCGGATTCGATGGATCTGGGGAGAGGGACGTGCAGAACATGTCCAGCTTCCTCGTCCTTTGATGACGACCAGGATTATTACAAAGGCCGGTTACAGTTAGCCCGGAATTGTCTGAGACCCTGCACATTGCGGGTTGTAACAAAGAACAGGATCGGATCCAGGCGTGTTTTGATTGACAAGACTGGGAGGCAGTCCGCCCAGCAGAGCGGCCACACCCTGAAACACAGCTTGCTGGGTCCTGGTTCTGATGCAGGGGCCTGGGCACGCGCCTTTATTAAGTTCCCCGGTGATGCGGAGGCTGTAGGTCCCCTGACCCGAGGCGCCCTCCGTGCGGCTCCCAGCCGTCTAACCACAGACCTGGCAGCGGCTGTCGGAGGCGAGCCCTGTCTTCCCCAGGAAGGCATCTGTGCTGCAGGAGGGCGGCTCGATCGGGTAGGGTGCGGGGCCCCATCCGCACAGGGATGCAGTTCCGATTCCGGACGCCCTCCTGCTGCTGGGGGCCTCACATGCAGGCTGAGCGGGTCGCTGCCGCAGACTCATGCTCCTGGGCCGCGGGTCCTGGGGGGGGCCACCCACCCGCACACAGTGCTGGCTGCCCAGGAGGTGAGGGGCGGTCTGTTCAGGATTCCCTCCGGTGCTCTCTGCAAAGCTTAAACAGGTGAGATCCAGTTTCACAGGAGAACAGGACCCTCCCACGGTGGGTATTCGAAGCCGTTGACAGAGCAGATGGGATTCCCAGGAGGCTTCCGGCGATCGGGAGCTCCTGGAAGGAGGCAGGGGGGTCTCCTGCCACACATGAGCGGGTACACACCGGCCGGGCGGAGAGGGGCTGTGTGGTCCTTATGAGTTATTCCTGAGCAGGACGTGGAACAAAGTTGTTCCAGTGGCCCAAGCCCACACGTGAAGGAAATCATAAGAGTCTGTTGTTTGCGCATTCAGTTTCCCAGTGGCAGCAAAACAAGTTTGGCCTTTAATTTTATGTAGCTTAAATGAGCTTCTATTCCACCCCCGGGCCCTTGACCTCCCTCTTTCCATGGACTAAAATGGTGACTGATGTAACCTAGATGTGCCGTTTCCCTGCAGTTTAGCATTCGGAAGGGCACCGGTCCTGGCCACAAACGCCCCTTTGCTGATTTTGATAATGATGATAATGACCAGATTGCCTGGGCTGTTAGTCAGAACTGTCCACGTGTGTTACGGCAACTGAAATAATACTAACACATCTTTATGTGGAACCTGTGCCTTCTGATCGCCTGCTTTGGGGCCACATCCAGGAAGATCCCGTACGAGGCCTCTCGGTAGCTGTCCCCTCGGACGGTTTCAGCATCGGGTGGCCCTGTTAGAGCTACATCTGTCCTTTCCTCCTCTGCCTCTTGCTGGCTAAACGTGCATTTTCCTACCAGTGGCTGATGCTTTTCAGTTTTTACTTAATTATAAGGAATATGAACCTGGAACTATTTTTAGCCAATAATCTGTGTAAGCTGGCAAATCTAATTTTGCTTGGTGAGGGCGATGCCCACAGTAGCTCCTTCCACATTAGACACCTGCATGTTGTCTGATCTGGAGTCTTCCTGGAAAGTGATCAGAGAGCTGTCAGCAAGATCTGCAACTCAAAGACGCCTGCAAACAAACACACCCCCCCCACACCCGTCGCCCCCAGGCTCACGAAGCTGAGGGCCGCCCCAAGGACTCTGTGGCGCTGAGGGAAGAGGTCCACCAGCTGTGCCACGCAATGACACGGGAGTGACACTCCAAGGGCCTGAGCCTGTTCCCATGTTTGAAAGGTGGAAATCGAGTGTCATGTGAGAAGGGAGGATGAAGCGGCTGAGCGGGATGGACTGAAGGCCGGTGCGCTTGGTCCGCGGGGCAGGCCCTGGTCTGAGTCGGCCCGCTTCTGACATGAGTGTTGTAGCCGTGCTGCGTCTGAAAGCCCCTTCTGCTCCCCAGGGTCTGTCCTACGAATGTTCGGGGAGGCCGTGCGAAGGCCCCAGGCTGCGGGCAGGGAGGCTCTGTCCCTGGAGGCATGGCCGCAGCTGGTGCTGAGCGTCTCCTTCCTCAGCACCTGTAAATACGGCCCTTGAAACCAGGTGCAGTCACCGAGTCCTCAGCCAGTGGGTGAAGGAAAACCTCCTGCCTTCAGGGCGCGAACATCGGAGTGGCTGACACAGGAGCTGCCGCTGTGTGTGACGACTCGGATGGCGGGCGGGACGCGAGGGGCCGGCAGCCGCAGAAGCCCCTGTGCGTCCAGGGCTGCGGTGTTTCAGGGGCTTGGCTGCCGTCAGGGGCTCCACCGTGGCGGTCCGTTGTGCCGGCTGAGGGGCGGCTGTGCAGCTTAGAACGACGTCCCTTTAGAAAGGGTTACTCACCACTTACACGTAACATAACATTACAGAGTGTACGTACACAGCAAATAACGCACAGTGTACTTCCATAATAAAAGCATATACTATATTGATATGAGTTTTACGTAATACATATTTATGTAATGGCAAAATGTATGCATATAGTTTAAATTACATAACTGCATATGCACATATCTATACGTATATACACATGGATATGTACACATACACACAGATTTATCAACAATTTTAAAATGATATTGAGTCGTTATCAAGCCTTATTAAATGATGATGATGTTATTGCTCTGTTAACTTTAATGTGGAAGTTAGAGCTCTTTCTCTCATAAATAATATCCACTTCGGCTTTCCAATGTTGACGTCTTATAAACTGAAAATATTAAAAAGTAGCTTGTATATTTTTTAACTACACAAGTGAGTCCC